CCCTGCAAGCCTCTCCGCGCCGGCATCCAAGCTGTGACCCCCGCGCACAGGGGCTGCCAGCCTGCATGGGATCCCGCTGCTAACCAGGAACTTGGGTGGCGCTGTTGGCGGTCTATTCCAGGACAGGAGGAGAAAGAACCGGGGGGGGGGGCACCCAAAAACCTCTTGGTCGATCACAGTGAAATCTCCACATTTATGAAGTGCACGTTCGCTGAGCCCCTTTCCCATTGTTAGGAGTCGTGCTTGCGGTTACAGACAGCGGAGAATCAACACGGATTTTGACCTTGAATTTACAGGGACCTTGGGAAGGAGCCAATGAGGCCAATCTGAAGACAGCCTTCAGAAGAAAAAAAAAGTCTATCGGGGCCACTGGCAGAGAATAAAAGATGAGGTTTTAATTTAATACTAACCAAGAGGTAGTAGAGGTTAACTCGCAGGCCCGTGCGTGAGAGGCACAGAAGGTAGCTCCAGCGGCCCCAGCTCTCTGCTATCTCTTTAGCGGGCTCCCCCTCCCCCGCGGGGTCCCCCCGCCCCCTCCCCCCACCTGCCTTGGAAAAGTCTGGTCTCTTTGACCTTCTAACAGCCCGGAGCTGGGAAAGCATCTGAAACGCAGAACCTGCAGCGCCCTGTGCTACGCTGACACACAGCAAGGGGCCAGTGGAAATTGATGACTAAAATAAGGCCTGGCTGGGGATTTCACTGACCTCTGCGCTCCCCTGCCCTGCAAACTCGGGGAGTTGAGAGATGACTGTTAACCTTCCCCACCGTGCTTGGGGTCAGTCACCCCGCGGCGGAGTGACCTGGCTTAGGGAACTGGGGGAAAATAAGGTCACTGCTGGGACGGGCTGCTGTTTTGGGGGGTCAGCCTTAATTGGCAGTTTTCTGACGACCCGGAGAACTGGGATTCACATGTTGACCAAACTGGGAGTGCATTTCCTTCAGGTCGCTCAAGCTCCCACTTCCTGTTTATGTTTCACAAGCGTCAAACCCATTAGCAAGTGTGAGAAATGATTGCTTTTCTAACTGTTCACTGGCTGACCTCACTTTGGGGCTTAGAGATCCATCCCTCCCTGGACGGATGTTATTTGGCGGGTTATCATCAATCTCTTTGGAGGGAATAAATGCTCCCACCTTCCTGCCAGGAGGTGGGCAGCAGGAGCTGCGGGTGGGGGTGGGGGAATGCGACCTTCTGATGACTCTAATAAGGGGGAAGTGTTGTCATGGTTGCCTCAAAACTGTAGTTCCACCAGGAAATAAGTTCTCTCAAAGGAAGGAGCTTAAGTCCTCTCTTGCACCGCCCGCCCTCCCGCCCCTCCCCCGCCCAGGAGTGAATCCCAGCAATCCTGCCTGCTTGGTTCTTGGCTGAGGAAAATATCATCCTTAAAATTATTTGAGTGATCAGTAATCTCTTTTTTACTTGCGGTGCAGTTAGATATAACAAAATGTGTGCATTGCCCTCTTAAAAAATTAAAAAAAATATTTACAGGCTCTATATACATCTTCAGGTAGGCCTCGACCTCCCAATTCTCCTGCCTCAGCTTCCTGAGTTTTGGGGATTATAGACATCGACTAATTTTTTCTTTTTACTTGTTCCATATATAGTCTCAGATTTCAATATTATCCCCATCCTGCTGTGTCTGGATTTCTTTTTAAAATCTCAGAAAGAAAGGAAGGGAGGGGGAGAGAGAAAGAGAATGAAAGAGCAAGAGAGAGAGACAGACAGACAGACAGACAGTGTGGTTTGGGGCTGGTGTTGTAGCTTGGTAGAGTGCTCCCTTGTCATGTAGTAGAGCCTGGGTTCTGTACTGAGCAGGGCATAAACTCGGGCCTGGTGTCACCACTTGACTCTAATCCCAACACTTGGAAGGAAAAGTAAGGAGGATCATAAAAAGTGATTTTTTTAAAAAAAAATATTTTTATGAAAGTTTAGTTTGAGCTAATGAGACCCTGTCTCAAAAAATAATATAAGAGAAATCCCTTGTTTTTTCCCTTGCATAGTGTTAGCTATTTGAAAAATAAGTCCTCCCAATATGTACACTTCCATCCTGAAGAGTATTACTACCTCAGACTCTCACCCATTTAAAACAAACAGAGACAGTTTATTAGGAAAGGAAAAAGGCACTCCCGAGGGTGGCAAGCGCTAGTGAGCCAAGACAGCCAGATGCTTAAAGTCTTTGTAGATCCTTTCTGGGTATTTGTGCACTTACTGTGTGCTAGTTTTCAGACCATATGCTAAGAACTGGTGTTTGCTGCCACGTTCTTACACAGCTGATTTGTGTTAGCTCAATCCATTTAGCACATGTACTTACTGAGAGAGCTCCAAGGCTCTGGACCAGGTCTTAAGGCTATATGGCATATGCTTTGGGAAACTGAAGCTCAGGGATATTAAATAACTACCCTAGGTTGTATAGTCTGGGATTATATGGGGGTAAGAATCCAAATTTGTTAGACTTCAAAAGCTGTACACTCTCTATTAAATTTTGAAGTTATACAATGACAAATTGACATTATCAGTAAATCTGAAATAACATTGTTGGGTTTCTAAATATTCAGGATGATTAGAAAAAAATCACATTGCATCAAGATATGAGAATTTCACTCTGCAATTTAAAAGTAGGCATTATAAGCTGGTGTGGTGGGCACTTTTAATCTCAAACCTAAGGATCCAGAGGCAGGAGGCCCCCTGAGGCTATGTAGAAAGACCCTGTCTTAAAGGGAAAAGAAAGGAAGCATTATGACACTTCTAACTACATTTTAACCACCAAGCTTGAGAAAGATGATGTAAGTTAAAATACCTAATAATACTGGTTGGTTGGTTTGGTTTGTTTGGGTGTTTTTTTGTTTTTGTTTTTGTTTTTGTTTTTTTAAGGCTTTGTTCTCACTTAAGGGCTGCCTTGTGGAACTGTACCAGTTATGTCCTGCTCGACTCCAGGGGGAGCCATCCCCATTGTAGTCTGTGGGAGAGACCCTCCAGAACTGTCCACTCCCACACTGAACACTCGGCAATCTTGCCATTTGGGCCTCTTCCCCCTCCTATCCTGTTTCTTTTAACTGCGTAAAGGTGAGAGTTTTGCACAGGAGATAAGCTCTTTCATTTCTTGTTTGCGCAGATCACACAAAGAACACTTTGCCTGGTTATGGAGCCTGGTTTCTTTTCTTTCCTTTTTTTCTCTCCCTCTTTCTTTCTTTTTCCAGTTCACGGCAACAAATACATTTTATAAGGGTAGTAGTTCAGTTGTTAGACTGCTTGCCTAGCGTGAAGGAAGCCCTGGGTTTGATCCCCAGAACCATATAAACTCGGTGTAGTGGCGTACACATGTGGTCCCAGCACTGGGGAGGTGAGGGAAAGAGAATCAAAAATTCAAGTTTATTTTCTGTACGTAGCCAGCCAGAGATACATGAGACTTTATTTCAAATGAAATATATATGTTCCATTCTAATATACACATCTTCCATATATGTGTTATCATTACCCAAAACATGTAAACATCCGTATGTCTCAAATACAGTTAAACCAGAGTTGGCAATAGCTACAATTGAGTGATGGACTTTTCCTTTAGAGACATGTGTCCACTCACCCCTGAAAGGGGTCCAGTTTTGTGACTCAAAAAGGCTGCATCCCCAGAAAACCCGCCCCAAAATGGGTAACATTGACTCCCGGAATACCTGCAACCCTGGAACTCTACACAGTTTGCAGACAGCTCAGGAGTCAAGTATTTCTTTCCGCTATTTGGCTGATCAGAATCTGCCCCCACCTCTCACCCCCACCCTCCACCCCAGTTGTTTACTCCTTTCCACACTGTTAAGGGAAAGCCCTTGAGCATTCTCCAAGTTTCTGTACTCTGGGACAAGTGACCTTTTGTTTACCTGAAGCAAAAATTCAACCTGCGGGAAGGTTGCGATTTACAAGAGCCAGCCATACCTACTACGATGCTCTCACCGATAAAGCTGAATAGCCAATGTTTTGCTTGCTCTTTTGAGATAGGGTCCCTGGGCTGGCCTGGAACTCCCTATGTAAGTGAGACTGGCGCCGAGCTTATAGAGTTCTGACTACCTCTGCCTCCTGAGAGTGCTGGGATTAAAGCCATGCACCTAACATAATTGTCTGACTATCTGTTGCTCCCCTCCCTCACCGCCTTTTTGGAATAAGATCTCACCGTGTACCTGGAGGATGATCTGCAGCTCACTATGAAGTCCGAGCCATTCTCCCATGCCATCTCCCTGCTTCCGCTTCCTCAGTGCTGAGTTTACGGACGTGCAGCCAATGCTTAGTTTGTTGCTTAGTTTGCGACATGTGCATAAGAAGAAGAATCCAGGCCAATGCATTTGCAGACAAGACAAACATGTGTTATATAATCTGACATTTCTTAATCTAATTTACTTGATTTTTTTTTTAATAAGGAGACTATTCTGGCCTTACCTCACCATGTCGGTTTTGGAGCATACCAATAAATCCTGGTTTGGGAGTTGAGAACTTGTTCTGTCCTAGGGAAGAATATTGTTGGTTTGCTTTGCCCCTCCTCTCCAAATAAGAAGAGATGAGCAATTTGCATCCTTGACAATCTTTCAGGATGCTTATAAAAATATAAATAAGGGACTGAGGCTGTAGCTCAGTCAGGAGAGTGTTTACAGGAAGCCCTCGATTTCATCCTCCATTCAGTCTCCAGCACTGCGTGCGTGCGTGCATAAGGAGGGTGTGGTGACTGCACCATCCTTGGATACCAAGCAGACTTTGCTGCAGAACATGTCTAAAAAAAGTCACGGATGGCTTTAATGGTGTAGATGTCTCTATCAGGGACACATCTACTAATCCTGTATATGTTCACCCTTTTAGTCTCTCTTAAAAACAAACATTTCATTGTTTTATTGAGAGGTAAACAGATAATAAAGTCAACTGATTTTTAAAAGTTTGATTCATGAATGAGGGGTAAGTGTGTAAGTCTGCATTGCTATGTTTTTGATATTATTGCCCGCCCCCCTCCCAAGCCATATGCTTGGTTGCCAGCCATTACATAATTGAAAAGTAGCAGAACCTTTAAGAGAGCTGGGACCTAGTAGAATGGAGTTAGGTTATTGGAAGATGTACTTGAAGCAGGTATAGGGCTGCAACCCTGACTCTCTTCTCTAGGGCTGAGCAGCTTTGCTCCACACTCTGTACCATGGACATGGAGTTCAAATGCACCATAAACTCCAAAGCAACACCTCTGAAAACATGAACCAAAATATGACTGTTGTTTTTAAAAGCACATATCATTAATTCTGACAACGCATTTTGATCATACTCACACTCCAGACTCACTCCTCCCAGATCCACCTTTACCTCTCCAGCCATCTGTAGCAGGCTTTCTCAGATGGCCAACAAATCAAGACATGGAGACTTAATATTAGTTATGAAAGCTCGGCCTTATCTTATGCTTGTCCCACTAGCTCTTATAACATAACCAACCTGTTTTTCTTCATCTATATTTTGTCTAGAGGCTTCTTACTGTCCTTTCATTCTGTATGTCATACTTTCACTGTTTTCCTCCAATACTGTCTGTCTGTCTGTCTGCTGCTTGGCTGACTGGCCTAGGGCATCTCCCTCTCTTTCTCCCCTGTTTTCTTCTCTCTCCAGCCTCTAGATTCCTCCTCCTTTTTGTTCTCTGCCCTCCAACCCTGCCTATTCCTCTACTGCCTAGCTATTGGCCATTCTGCTTTTCTATTACACCAATCAGGTACCTTAGACAGACGAGGTAAAGCAGCAACACATCTTTACATAACTGAAGACATGTAACAGAAACACAGGCTACACATCTTTACCTGGTTAAAGTGCTATTCCTCAACACCCCCCAGCTTCATGTTCTCACTCATTTGTTTTCAATCACATTGAGTACAGTTTGTGTTACTCTTCAGTAGGAGATCTGCTTTAGAGAGTGGTCAACCTACCATTAAGGTCACACCCTTAAAAAAACTAATTCTCCTCTCTAATCAAATTGGTATCAAATGCCAATATCTGCTCAGCTAAAAGTAGGACTTCATGCCAACCTCCAGCTCCATGCTGAGTTTTTGTCTGGTAAAGAGCTGTCACAATCCCTGTGCATTCATATGGACATCTGCTTGTGTCTAGAAAATACGGTTTCTCAACCTAGATGCCCTTCAATTGAAGAATGGATGAAGAAAGTATGGAATATATACATATTAGAGTACTACTCAGCAGTAAAAAACAAGGACTTCTTGAAGTTTGCAGGCAAATGGATGGAAATAGAAAACACTATCCTGAGTGAGGTAAGCCAGACCCAAAAAGAGGAACATGGGATGTACTCACTCATATTTGGTTTCTAGCCATAAATAAAGGACATTGAGCCTATAATTCGGGTTCTTAGAGAAGCTAAATAAGAAGGAGAACCCAAAGAAAAACATATAGGCATTCACCTGAACATTAACCTTCATCAGGCGATGAAAGGAGACAGAGACAGAGTTCCACATTGGAGCACTGGACTGAAATCTCAAGGTCCAAATCAGGAGCAGAAGGAGAGAGAGCACGAGCAAGGAACTCAGGACTGCGAGGGGTGCACCCACACACTGAGACAATGGGGATGTTGTATCTGGAACTCACCAAGGCCAGCTGGCCGGGGTCTGAAAAAGCCTGGGTTAAAACCGGTCTCGCTGAACATAGCGGACAAGGAGGACTACTGAGACCTCAAGAACAATGGCAATGGGTTTTGATCCTACTGCACCTATTGGTTTTGTGGGAGCCTAGGCAGTTTGGATGCTCACCTTACTAGACCTGGATGGAGGTGGGTGGTCCTTGGACTTCCCACAGGGCAGAGAACCCTGAATGCTCTTTGGGCTGACGAGGGAGGGGGACTTGATTGGGGGAGGGGGAGGGAAAGGGTAGGCGGCGGTGGGGAAGAGACAGAAATCTTTAATAAATAAATAAATAAATAAATAAATAAATAAATTTAAAAAAAAGAAAAAAAATACGGTTTCCTTATAGTCATCCACCTACCACCTCTGGCTTTTACAATCTTTCTGGCCCTTGTTAGGGATGAGAACTTGATAGTCTCTTATTCTCTGTGCATTTGCCCATTGTGGTTCTCTGCAAGAAGAACCTTATTTGTTGAGGACTGAGAGAAGAATGAATCTATGGGTATAGCCATAAGTCATCAGGAGTCATTTTGATACTATGTCCACCAAGTCGAACAATTGTAATAGTTTCTTCTTAGGGCCCCTGACCTGTCTAGACAAGTTCTTGACCCCAGTAACAGTGCCAGGTATAGATTCCATCTTGTGGAATGGGACTTAAAATTCCAATTAGAAAGTTGTTGCTTGCTCCCATGACATTTTTCGCCACTATTGCACCAAGTGTGTGACTTGCCAGGACAATCATAATCGTAACTCACAGTGTTTGCAGCCTGGATTTGATAATTAGTGGCTACTTTTCTTCTCCAGTAGCAGATGCAGCACCTTTTAGCACCATGAAAACTAGACAGTAGGGAATGAAGCTTCCAGCGAGTACCAGCTTGATTTTCCATGTTCTGTGTGTGACTCCAGTGTTCAGTATCTTCATTTACAGTCCTACCATCAAGTTCTGGAGGCTGGTAGCCAAGAGCAGTGGCAATAGCCTGAAACGTTTGAGGATCTGTGCGACTCCACGGGCCAACATCTCAAAAAGAGGTAACCTAGTCCTGGCATTGGAGATTTTATTTGCTAGCGTGTAGTGTCTAATTGACACATTCTGTCCCCCACCATCATAGGACAATGCCATTTAAATGCCTTCTATCCATGAGGATAGTTTGGGAAATCTTCCCTTCTTTTCAGATCTTTGATTTTTAAAAGCAGGGTCTCACGATGTCACTGTCACTCTGTAGCTCAGAGAGATCTGCTTGCCTTTGCTGCCTGCGTGCTGGCATTAAGGATGTGCACCCCTATAACTGGCTTTAAAGTGTTTTTTTAAGTTATATTTGTTTTGTGTGTGTGTTCATTCACCCGTGTGCGAGTATGTGGGGGTGCACGTTCCACAGTGTACACGTGGAAATAGAGGACAACTTGCAGGAGCTATAGTGGTGTGCATCCCGGGCATTGAACTCAGATCATCAGGCTTGGTGGCAGGTGCCATTACCCACTGAGCCATCTCGTTGGCCTAGAGCTTTTTAATCTCAGACATTTTGTCACAGTGGAGAAAAGCTGACTGACACACCACCCACACAAGGTTCAGACCTTTTTTTTTCTTGGCGGGTGGAAGTCATCCCAGAATGTTTCTTCATGTTCCTTTCATTTCTGTCCCCCAAATTATCTTCTGACGTCTATCACTATAGATTAATTTTGCCTCTTGTTACAGTATGTCTTTGTCAGAACCCCAAGAATGGAGTCCCGCGAATAGAATTCTGAGTGCTTGTGAAGAACCTCCAAGAAAACAAAGAGTCTTGTGACCTCAGTTTCTTCAAAACCATGAAATTGTTCTTGTAGTGTCTGCATGCCCCTCCCGGGTGCAGCAGTTCAGAGTGAGTTTACTGTAGGTCATTCATCACAGCTGGCTGTTGTTACTTGTTTATATGTCTCTATGGGGAAACATGTTTTTGTCATGTTTGGCTTGTCTTTGTGATGGTACACTTTACTCATGTGATTCTTAACCCTCAGAGTATAAATTGTCTGATGCTCTGAATAAAGTTGGCTACTGCATGAAACTTTACTCTTATGTTTAGGCTCCGTTTTCCCAGGTTTCATGGCCCTTAGAGCCTTACTGCAGGGAACAGGGCAGTGCACAGGCGGGCATGGTACTGCAGCAGTCACTGAGAAAGGTGTCAGTGTTCTGAAACTGCAAAGCCTTGACTCAGTGGCACACCTACTCCAACCAGGCCACACCTCCTAATCCTTCCCAAACTGATCTACCAACTGGGAACCAAATATCCAAACATAGGATCCTATGGGGGCCATTCTCATCCCAACTATCATAGACTATATAGTAATGAGTGTCCTCTTTTGATAAAATTTGTGATACATTATATATCATCAAAGGGTTTTTTTTTTAAATTACTGATTTCTTTTCTTGTGTGCATTTAATACCATTTTTCTGTCTAGCTTCAATTAAAGATGGGCTTTTGGTTTGTTTTCTGTGTAGGACTGTTATGAATGAGACTAATATTAACATTCTCCTACACATCTTTTTGTGAGTGAAGGATCCCCTTTTTCTTGGATAGGTATCAGGAGTACAGTTCTTTAGGGGCATAGGTTACATATGTGTTTAGGTTTACTATAAGCTGCCCAAGGATTCTCCAAAGAGGAGTTACCATTTTAGAAAACTATCAGACATATTAGCTGCTGGATACCCCACCTCCCCACCAATGTATCATCCACACATTTCATTTTCACAGCTTTAAGGGGCCTGGAAGATATTGTATTGATTTTTTTCTTTTTCCTAGAAACTAATGAAGTCAAACATATTTTCAGTTGCGTATTGGCTACAGATATGTCTTCTTTTGTGAAATGTCTGTCCAAACCATTTGCTCGGTTTAAACGTTGGATTAGTTCCCTTTTAAAAATGTTATATATAAGAATCCAATTCAACAGGCTGTGGTGGCACAAACCTTAAATCCCAGAACCTGTGGTTCTGGTTGTGGGTGAGGGAGGTGGGCGGGTTCCTGTGAGTTCAAGGGCAGCCTGAATGACATAGCATGCTCCAGGCCAGTTATGATTACGTAGTGAGACCCTGTCTCAAAACCAAGTGAACAAAACCCCATAGAATTCAAGGCTAGTGATGAGTCTCAGTGTGGAAAGTCACTTGCCATCAAGCCTAGTGGCCTGAGTTTGATCCCAAGAACACAAGATTGAGGCAGAGGACTGACTTCTGCAGATTTTCTCCTAACCTTAATGTGAAAGTGTGGTACACACGTTCCCGTGTTCCCTCATATATACAAAGGAAATACAGAAAAAATAGGCTAAAAAAATACAAGTCAATTTTGTGTGCTGACTTTCTATCATGCAGCTTGAGTTTTTATTGTTGAATTTTAGGACTTCTTTATGTATTCAAAATACACAGCCTTTGTCGGAACCATGGTTCTATTACATGCATCTATCTTTAGACAGAGTCTCACTATGTAGGCATCACTGACCTGGAGCTTGCTATGTAGACCAGGCTGAGCTCAAACTCACAGTGATCAGCCTGTCTCTACATCCTGAGTGCTGCAATTTAAAAACATTCACTGCAACATTTGGCCTGCTGTGTGTACCTTTTAAGATTTATTTTTATTTATGTGTATGTGATATGTCTCTGTGTATATACACACATGTGAGTTCATGTGCCTCCAAAGACCAGAAGAGAATGTCAGATCTTATGAACACCTGAATTGGGTGCTGGAAGCTAAACTTGGGTCGCCTGGAAGAACACCTAGTTCTAAGTGTAGAGCCTCTCTCCAGCCTCCAAATGATATGTTTTAATGAGTGGGATTGAAAATATTTGTAAAATATATTTATTAGTGTGTATGTCTATATAACTATTAATAGGAGGCGAGCATTCTACCACTGAGCCCTAGCCTTGCATTCTGCACTTAAAAAAATTATTTCATTGTCTGATGTTGCTGTGGTGTTGATAATGGTGGTAGGGGTGGTGATAATGGTAATGGTGTTGGTGGTAGAAGTGGTGGTGGTTGATGGTGGTGGTGATGGTGATGGTGGTGGTGGTAGAAGTGGTGGTGGTGGTGGTTGATGGTGGTGATGATGGTGATGGTGGTGGTGGTAGAAGTGGTGGTGGTGGTGGTTGATGGTGGTGATGATGGTGATGGTGGTGGTGGTAGAAGTGGTGGTGATATTGGTTGATGATGGCGGTGGTGATGGTGGTGGTGGTGGTGCAGTGGTATGTAGTAGGTTTTAAATGGCTGCTCAGTGGGCTTCCCATGCATTAGAAGCACTTGGTGGTCTTCTAAACACACAGAGGTGTAGACTGTACTCTTAGAGTCTCTCAGAGTAGGTCACTGATAGAGCTAAAAGTTTCCATCTGTAAGCAGTCCGTTGTCGTGTTAGTGACATATTCCCGGGGACCCTGCTCTATACATGACATTCTGAATTTTAAAACATGGTGGTAAGGATGGAGCCTAGGGCCTTGCACATGCTAGACAGGTGTTTCCGCTGAGCTGCACCTCAGCCTGCTGCCCTGCGCCTTTAAGTCGTCACAGTCTCCCTTCGGATGCACACTGAACATATTACATGATGGCAAACAAACCGGACAGCAGCTCGATTCTGTTTCATCTCCAGCCGCTTTTTCTGCTCTTATTATCAGAATTTTATTGACTTTTTTGTCGCCATATATTGCAAATCTCAGGATATATTTTTGTTTTATTTTGTTTTTTTTTACTTTAATCAACAGAACGTGCACACACATGCGTGTATGCCCACGCACACACAAAGATTTTAATTTTTTTGTGTAGGAGTGCTTTGTCTGCATGTATATCTGCACCATGTGTATGCCTTGTGCCAGTAAAGGCCAGAAAGGGGGTTGAATCCCCCAGAACTGGAGTTATAGTTGGTTGTGAACCACTACTTGGGTACTGGGAATCAAACCCCGGTCCTCTGTCAGAGCAACAACTTTTCTTAACCTCCAGGCCTTTACTCCCTCCCACCCTCAGATAGGTCTTACTATGTATCCCCGGCTGGCCTGGAACTTATTCCATAGACCAGGCTGGCCACCAACTCACAGTTTTACCTGCCTCTGCCTCCTGGGTGCCAAGGTTAAAGGTGTGTGCTATCACATCTAGCCTCAATAGTATTTTAAAAGATCTGTGTGAACACACACCCAGACAGAGATAAAGATCTAGATGTATTGTAAAAGATTGTTGTCTCTTGGCCCTCTGGGACTCATTACAAGGCTGGGTTTTTTTTTTTTTTTTTTTTTTTGGTATGTTGTCTTTTTGTCTAGTGTGAAAAAGTTATGCAAGCTTTTATTGTAGCATGAACCTTGTAACATTTTTATGTTTTGTTTGTTCTTGTCCTGTGGATTGTTTGACTGCAAATGACTTCATTTTACTTTCTTTTATTTAAAAAAATATTATGTTTTCGTTTGTCTGTCTTGTGCACATGGGTGTGTATGCAGACAAGTGAGGTCTCTCTCTTGTGCACAGGTGTATGTGTGTGGACAAGTGGTGTCGTCTCCTGTGCACATGTGTGTATGTGGACAAGTGGGGTCGTCTCTTGGGCACAGATGTGTGTGTGTGGACAAGTCGGGTCGTCTCTTGGGCACATGTGTGTGTATGTGGACAAGTGGGGTCAGAGAACAATTTTCAGAAGTCAGTTTTCTCCTTCCACCATGTCAGGCTAGGAACTGAACACAGGTTATCAGAGTTAGGGCCGAGTGCCTTTCCCTAGTGAACCATCCTGCCCACCCTCCCCACCCCCGACATTGCTATAGCATGGGTGCTTTGTACTTTAGTTCACTACTTCCTGTCTGCCTCTGTCTATTAAATTCTAACTTCAGCTATGCATAGGTGTTTAGAATTCCATTTGTGTTTTGAAGTGGTGCTGGAATGAACCCAGGGTCCCGCATGTCCTAGGCTGCTCTACTCCTGAGTCACATCCCAACTCTTCTATTCTTCTTCTTCTTTGTTTTTTTTTTCTTGGCTTTTCTCTGTGTGGCCCTGGCTGTCCTGGAACTCACTCTGTAGAGCTTGAATTCAGAGATCCTTCTCCCTCTGCCTCTCAAGTGCTGGGATTAAAGGTGGGTACCACCACCATCACCACCACTACCACCACCACTGGGTTAACCCTTGTACTCTTTTCTGCTTTAGCTATGACCTCATATTTCCTTGCTCTTCTGCACACATATCCATTTTGAAAAACAAAAAGAAAGAAAGAAAAGGAAAGAAAGAAGAGCGAGGATTCACTGGTGAGTTGATCCAGTGAGGAAGAGTGCTGGTCAGACATGCCTCATAGACCGCATCCATCTGAGAACCCAATCAAAAGGAACATCGGAAGTTGTCCTTGGACCTCCTCATGTGCCACATACCCTGCCCGGCCCCCACCCCATCCCCTCTCTTTCCATCTGACACAGGCACACATAGACAATATTTACAAAGATAACAATGATACTAATAAAAACTTAAGAATTCCTTATGAATGCTTGAATAGACACATGATTTTACATATTTCTGGGACTCTGTGACAGCTGAACTTAATATACATACATAGTGCACAATGATCTGATTATGGGATTCAAATGTCTGTCTCCTTAAACCTTTGTCATTCTGTTGTGTTGGGACTCTAAATTCTTCTTTTATTTCTTCGCACAAGCCCTATAATGACACTTGCTGTGAGTTTGTCACTCTGCTTTGCTGCAGAACTTACTCCCCACAGTATTTTACTGCCCATAATCTGACAGCCCCCTGAGCCCCGTGCTCCAGGTCCTTACTCTGTCAAACCTGTGGTGACCACTTTCTCGAGATGAACATTTTGGTTTCCATGTACGAAATATGCCATACTGTATCTCCCTGTGTCTGGTTATTTCCCTGAGCATAAACTTCTCCCGCCACATCTCTCAAATCACAGGATTATGTTTTTTTATGACTGGATTGCAACACCAGGTATTATAACCAAGATATTAAATTACCCAAGGTGTCCTCAAACAGATGAATGGATAAAAAAAAATTCTCTCTCTCTCTCTCTCTCTCTCTCTCTCTCTCTCTCTCTCACACACACACACACACA